CCCCAAAACCCCAAAACCCCAAAACCCCAAAACCCCAAAACCCCAAAAGTTAGACAATTATTGAATTTAAAATGGCAACTAATGATGTCCTGTGGGCTGAAAAGTACAGACCTCAGAATTTTGACAGCCTCTTGTTTAACACAAGCCAAACCAGAAGGCTCAAGAAGTTAGTAGAGTCTGATGACTTCCCCCACCTATTGTTCTATGGCAGGAGCGGTGCAGGTAAGAGGACTCTCATTAAATCTGTCCTTAATGAACTTTTTGGCGCAGGAGTTGAGATTATGAAGTCAGAAATCAAAGAGTTCAAGCCAACCAGCTCTTCTCTAGTAGTAGACTGTGTCGTTAACTCCAGTCAGTATCATCAAGAAGTCACTCCTTCAGAAGTTGATAGATACGACAGAGTTGTAGTCAACTCTATCATCAAAGAAATTGCGGGAAGCGCCAAACTCAATGTTGACGCTGAAAATGAGGATGAAGAAAAAACCAAAAATTTCAAAGTTTTAGTGATCCATGACCTGGATAAACTCTCTAGAGAAGCACAATCTGGATTAAGAAGAACAATGGAGAAGTACATGCATAACTGCAGAATTATTTCAGACTGTGAAAGCTTGTCAAGAGTCTTGCCTCCTTTAAAATCTAGGTGTGTTCAGATCAGAGTTGGGGCTCCCAAAGTAGAAGAGATTGCAAGTACATTACAAACAATTGCTGGGTATGAAAGCTTTGAACTTAGTGATGCACTTGCTGAAAGAATTGCTAAGAGTTGCGGAAGAAATGCAAGAAGGGCTATTACAATTCTGCAAACCTTAAGAGCATCAAAGAGCTTCTCATCTTCGACTAAAATACCAAGACTTGGATTTGAAGAGATAATTGACGGTATCTGAGATATGACTATTAAAGATCAAAGTCCAAAGCAATTGAGACTAATCAGAAATAAGTTTAATGATCTGCTATGCACAGGAATTGACGCTGAGATTATCTTCACTCTCTTGGCTAAAAGATTGATGGAAGTTGTTCATAACTCCTTGAAACTCCAAATCCTATACCACGCTGTAAACTCTGATTACAGATGTAGTCAAGGGACTAAAGCAATTGTTCACCTAGAAGCGTTCACAGCAGCTGTAATGGTCTCATACAGACAAAGTATGTCATAATTTATCAGAACAGTTCAATTGCTAACTATTATTCAACATGAGTTCTTAAAAATGGGGTTTTGGGGTTTTGGGGTTTTGGGGTTTTGGGG